ATTATATATTTATTAGAATGATTAATTTTATACAGGATTTAAATAATAAGTATATCTAAACATAAGCATTAAAATGTCTTTTATCTTTTAACATTGTAACGCAACTTCAAATGCTATTTTCAATTTTTATACAGCTTTCCTTAAAGTGACACTAAACTCAGTAGTGAAACCTTAAAAATGCATTCAAGCACCTTAACTATTACCAACTGATTGATGCTGGAACGCACTGGATGGCATTCTGGCTGGCTCACTTTGTTTTGGGGCGGGAGGGGGCGTGACAGTGCATTAAAAGTCAATGGCACCGCAGCCACGGCCTCCGGTCGCAGTGCGATCGCCTGCACCGGAACACGTGACACATCAATGCATGCGGTCCGGTGCGGTCAGAATAAATTGTGCATGCAGCATTTTTTCTGACTGGACCGGAACGCAGGCACTGATGTGCCACGCTTTCTGGTGCAGGCAATCGCACTGTGGCCGGAGGGCGTTGTTGCGGTGCCATTGACTTCAATGCACCGTCACGTCCCCTCCCGCCCCAAAAGAAAGTTAGCTGGCCGCAATGCAATCCAGTGCGTTCCGGCACCAATCGGGCTGGAACGCACTGGGGCTAGTGTGAACTAGACAAAAAACTAAAATGAATATTATCTGTGTATTACTGGGCTGTAGATCTTCAAATAATCTCTGCATTGGCTTTTGTTTCCCATGGTCCCTGTGTGTGTGTTGTTAAGTAGCCACCGTTACAAGATCACTCTTGTGATGGACTACAATCTCAAAAACAAATTAATAAACTAAACGTTAGGATTGTAGTCTATCATAGGAGTGAGCTTGGAGCGGTGGCTACTTTACAACACACACAGGGAACAAAAGTACACCCCATCTAGAAGGAAGGACAGTGTCTGCATGAATTCATTGAGCATTTACAGCTGAGTGATGCACAAATAAGATACAATTTGTTAATAGTAAAGGTACTTCAAAGATATTAGCCTCTTCAGGTCATATTTACTTCTTATATGGCCCCATTCAGATTCAGTCCTGCCAAAATGTCACGCATGGGCAGAGGGCATCTTATGTATTTGGGCAATGGAATTAGTGCCTTACCTACTACTTGTTTGTTTTATCACAGGTATAAAGTTCCCAAGAACTTGTCTTTTGTGTATCTGCCATGTGTCTGAATTCACATGTATTTTTCTCAGTGTGCTTATAACCGTTTTCTGATCTTCCTACTCACCAGGTGTTTTTGAAGAGTGACAGCTTATGTCTGATGAAAGGAGACAGATTCAGAACATTACCCACAATCCCTTCTGCTTACCTCTTAGCGATGCATGTTCAGCAGCTTGAGACTGGCGGATTCACCATGGCGAATGGAGCATTTAAGTGGAATAAGCTTAGGTGAGAGTTGCATAGTTGGAGCTTTTCTTTATTTCCAAAGAGTGGCTGCATGTACTATATGAGTCTGTTCAAGTGATCTGGTCAGCTGCATATCACCGAGGAACATATGATACAGTATTTCTGAGATAACAAAACAGTGGAAATAATTTCCTTGCTATAGTCAATGTTGGCAATTTAAATGTTTCCTGATTGGTTGGAGAGAGAAACAATCCGGAACGAATCACACAAAACTAGTACTCTGATCCCGAGTTTTCCTATGTGCATTGTTTTTCTGTTAACGATCCACACTGATATAGTAAGCTTGATCAGTGAAGTTAGCAGCTCTGTCAAATAAGCCGGCCATGAACCACTTTAATGTCAGCTGAATTGGCTGAAATTTGAGCGACGGGTGGCCTGTAGATACCACCCAACTCAACAAAAGTCAATTTAAAAATCGACCTGAGATGGGCCGAAAATTATGTGCTGAACAATGAATGTATCTTATCAGATGCGTTCCCTCTTCAGACAGCCGTGGGTTCTGCAGCTGCCTGCATAAAATAGCCGGCAGTGGAGATTCCACCATCCATGCTGTCTGGCCTGTTGATTTTCTTTTCTTCTCTTATTCAGCCCGTGTATATGTGCATATGGCTAGCCTAAGGTTGAGTACATCATTTTCTCAGTGATTAGTATTCGGATTCTTGTGCGATCCAGGGAGGCCAGTAAGAAATGTTTACCATTCTCTTGTTGCAGCAATGAATTGTAGATACAGCTGTCTCAAGTTGTGTCCATTCTGTGGAATGTTCACACGGGTGCATGATTATTTTTAACAATTCCCATTTGGTACTTTCTAGATTTCTCTACTTCTTTACAAATACATGGGAGACAACCGTGTAACATAATTCACTAAATGTTCACTAAATGTAGTGAACATTTGCATCACAGGAAGTGAGTGGGAATCCCTCTCTCCCTAAAGTGATCTTGGAATAAAATAGAATAGCCGAACCCTGTAAAAGAAGTGTATTGGCAGGGACTTCTTATTCAGTATGGCCCCCCACCACTGCATGGAAGTAAATAATATACTCAGCTTTTCCTAACTTCCGTAGTGTGCAAGTGGGAGACTTGTGTCATCCTCCTAACAAAATCCATGGGAATGCTGGGCAGCCCAAATCTCACAAGAATAGGCTGCTGCACAGTATAAAGTTGCTCTCTTGCAACACTTGGGCCAGTCCACATTACCGGACATCTTGCTGGAAGCAGAATTCAACATACTTTATTGCTGTCTGCTTTGAGTACTTACCTGTCCATCAGGCAGGAAGACCAGACAATGCTCTCTTGCACAGTGCTGTCTGACACTGGTAGCTGACATTGTAAGGTGTGTTGGATAATCGGTCCCCTTCCATGTCATGCAGTTTTGCCCTCTAGCCTCTTCCTCACTACTGTGTGTTGTAGTGGCATAGCAGTCAATGAAAGGAACCTCCGTGCGAGGCAGGGATGGATCATCAAACACATCTTAAAATGTTACATACTAGTAGCGGCCATTGCTCTGTAGACATGTGCGATTCGTTTCGTTATGAATCGAAATTCGTAAGCATACGAAATCCGAATTGCAGTTTCCGAATTATATCCGAAATACGAAATTCCGTTAACGAATTTCGGATCCGAATTTCTTTGAAACAGGAACTAATATTACCCCTGTAAATGAGGTTGAACAACATGACAAGATTTTTTTCTTAATCCGAAATACGGATCCGCTGCTGCTGAGGCTTGCATTACAATACACAGGCAGGAAATACGAAATTCCGTTGACGTATTTTCGTTCTGTTACGAACATTCGTTATATTGAAGTTAAAAAGCAAAGTACATTTATATTGGAGTTGATGGTAGTTTTTTTTTTTAAGTCCGAAATAAGAAATATGGATATGGAATCTGTTAACGGAATTCGTATTTCGGATACAAAAACAACTACCACATCGACTCGAATATTAACAAAAGTATTTTTGCTTTTTAACTTCATCATAACGAATGTTCGTAAAGTTACGAAAATGTGCCGAAACTAACGAAAATCCGTATTTCGTACGAATCCGAATTGAGTTTCGGATACGAAATAATGGATATTACGAAACGGAACGAAACAAATTTTTTGACGGCGCACAAGTCTATTGCTCTGTAAGAGAGTGAAGATTGGACTGCCCACCTGCAGCACAGATAAGTGTAAAATATCCTATTTTACGGAGTTCTTGTTTTCCCTAATTTTTCTAATCGCAGCAAATGAAGGAGACAACCGAGTAGGGAAAAAGACAGCAATAAAACACAGGAAACGCATTCTCTGTATATCACACTGTTTCAGTAACTAGTCCTGTATATCACACTGTTTCCTTAACTAGTCCTGTATATCACACTGTTTCAGTAGCTTTGGTTCCTAAACGAGACACTTAATTAATAAAAAAAACTACTATCCTACTATCCTATATATCACACTGTTTCTGTAGCTTGTCCTATATATCACACTGTTTTTCAGTAGCTTGTCCTGTATGTATCACACTGTTTCAGTAGCTTGTCCTGTATATCACACTGTTTCAGTAGCTTGTCCTATACAGTGGCGTAACAACCGGGGGACGGGGGGGTCACTTGCCCCGGGCGCAGGACTGAGGAGGGGTGCCGTCACGACTTGTATATCACACTGTTTCAGTAGCTTGTCCTGTATATCACACGGTTTCAGTAGCTTGTCCTATATATCGCACTGTTTCAGTAGCTTGTCCTGTATGTATCACACTTTTTCAGTAACTTGTTTTATTCCCCATTTTCTTGTTTCCAATAGGAATATTGCAAAAGTCATAAGCCAGGTTCATGCGTTTCAAGAAATCCCATACACCTTTACTCCAGATCAAGATTTTCAGTTTTACCTCCGGCAGCGCATTTCACATTTCGGCGAGGCCGATATCTCCGCTTTGGCCGCTGACAACAACGCCAATTTCCATCACGTAAACTCTGAGAAACATTCTCGTAAGATCCAGGACACGCTGCGCAGAATGAAGGCCACGTTTCAGTGAAAGCCATAGACAGCACTTTACATTTGTCTCCCTTCAAGAAAACCAAAGAGCAAACTGTAGATGAGAGCTTCTGCGTTTTGATTAGTGGTCGCTGGTATTGGCAGATTAGGAGTGATGGTGATTGAAGGGACACAAACACTTACAAAAGGGCTCATGCAGTAGAACAATATCTGTTCCCAGCTTTTGTTGCTGAGTTGATTTTGCCCAATTGCAGAGTGCAATAATTTACATAAGCTTGCCTCATGTGTGCAGGTGATCATGTTAATGTGTTAGCCAAATCTTCTAGATCTCCCATTTTGTAATTCATGGCCGTCTCTTGAGAATCAGAATATTTGCATACAATATCATTTTTACTGCTAACCTATATTAAAAAGTAGAGGAAACTAATAATCCTGTAATGGCAAAGGTGCTTTTCAGGCTGCACTTAACAGAACCCACATGTAGACCGCTACTTTTTATCCAGGAGGACATCTTAAAATATTTTTCAGGTCCTTGAGAAGCCCTGCAAAAACCATTTCATAGGAAGTCAGTGGGAAAAATTGCCACTCTTACCGGTATATAAAAAGATTATTGGCACCATGCTGCTGGCTCTGCCCTGAACCTGAAAGGCACCATCAGATGGCAGGACCGCAGCTCAGGGAACCCCTAGACACCTCTGAAGGAACCCTAGGGTCCCACAGAGCCCTGGTTTAGAATGTCTGTTCTAAGATCAGCATGGAGGGACATAGGTTCAGCCCCAAACTGCAGGTGAGAAGTTATCAGGTGATGTAATATGGGCCAGTGTAGTTCGCATGTTGCAGCATTTGTCTTGCAGTTTATGGTGAAGAAGTAGAATCCCTGGCAGTGCTCTAAGGGTCTCATGGGTCTGGATATGCGTGTGTTTATGTGCTTTATTATCATGCATTAGTTCGTGTTTTTTCATTCAGTGAGCAGTTTATATGTATTTTTCTGAATGTGTTTTGTGTCAGTCATTTCACATTCAAAAAAACGGTTTAGTCATTTGTTCATGTCATGACAAACAAGCGCTGGTGTGTGTGTGTGACATTTTTGCTAATTCTTATGGGGGAGTGAAGTGCATAAAAATGTAACAAGCTTTCTAAAATCTGTTGGTTATTCTGTCTGATATCGCCAACAGTTAACAGTCCTATTCAATCCCAGCTGCAGATTCCCTTGGTAGGACACAGCAGTGTACTGCTTGGAACCGTGCAAGAGTGAATGCAAGGATGCGGCATGCACACTCTTTACTAAGGGTCTGCTTCACCCCAAAATGAAGAACAAGTATTTCCCTGTCTACGTAGGTAATATCACTGTGCACTTGCCAGACGTTCAAACAAGGAAATGTCAATTTAGTGAATCAATGGGGTCTGCAACTTCTGACGGCAAGCTGCAACCACTTTTAAATGAATGTGCTTCTGTATTCAGAGCTTGTGTGTACGTAGGAAAAGCAACACCAATGGATCACAAATGTATATTTCTGCTTAGCTGTCCTTAGGCAAAATGCCTCATGAATACCCTTCCTCTGGCCTCAGCGCCCATATTGCCTCCCTGTGGCCTTGGCGCCCGTATTCCCTCCCTCTGGCCTCGGCGCCCGTATTCCCTCCCTCTGCCCTCGGCGCCCGTATTCCCTCCCTCTGCCCTCGGCGCCCGTATTCCCTCCCTCTGGCCTCGGCGCCCGTATTCCCTCCCTCTGGCCTCGGCGCCCCTATTCCCTCCCTCTGGCCTCGGCGCCCGTATTCCCTCCCTCTGCCCTCGGCGCCCGTATTCCCTCCCTCTGCCCTCGGCGCCCGTATTCCCTCCCTCTGCCCTCGGCGCCCGTATTCCCTCCCTCTGCCCTCGGCGCCCGTATTCCCTCCCTCTGCCCTCGGCGCCCGTATTCCCTCCCTCTGCCCTCGGCGCCCGTATTCCCTCCCTCTGGCCTCGGCGCCCTGACGCCCGTATTCCTTCTCTGGCCTCGGCGCCCGTATTCCCTCCCTCTGGCCTCGGCGCCCGTATTCCCTCCCTCTGGCCTCTGCGTCCGTATTCCCTCCCTCTGGCCTCTGCGCCTGTATTCCCTCCCTCTGGCCTCTGCGCCTGTATTCCCTCCCCCTGGCTTCGGCGCCAGTATTCCTGGCTTGCTGCGATACATGGGCTCAGGACTGGTTTAGCCTGTGCTAAAATAGCAACGCACGTACAGCCACATTTCACGTTCGTCAATCAATCAATAAACTTGATTATTCAAGATGGCATTGACCCCCTGCCAGACTACTGAAGCCCTGATGCATTTCATTCTGTTAAAGGGCTCATCATGGGTCTCTCCAATTAACAGGGTGATCATATCAGGGCTTCAGAATTAAGGAAGGCCTTCAATGTCATCTTGATTAATAATGGTTATTAAACATCTTGCTCATTTGGAGTTCAGCTGTACATGCTTTGCTATTGGAGGAGATGGGATAAAACCTTGAGTTGGCTGGCAGCTATGGCTGGGGGATTATTGAATTTGGAGTGAATACCCTATTGATTTGATTTACAAATGTTTGGATTATATTACCTTCCATTAAAGTGACATTCAAAAATGTTTTTCCCTCCCCCCAATGTTAATGTCAGCACTTACCTTAACTGATGTTTCTTAATCCGATCTTCTTCTTTCCGGTCCTTTTTCATCTGTCCCTCCAGCGCTGCGGCGGGTTTCCGATCCAGCGCTGACTCCTCTGTGCTTGCTGGCACTTCCTGTCCCATGCTGTCTGCATGCGGGTGCACGCGTCCATAGACTTACCTTGTGTCTCTCCTCGCGTCCCGGCCAAAAATGTGAACTGCTCATGCGCCAGCCCCAAGATGCTTTGCGGCCACCCGAGCATTTTCACATTTTCGGATGGGAGCCCGCGGGGAAGACACATTTTCAAATCGTTTTTTTTAACACTTTTTGCATATAGCCATTGCTTGCTAGCAGTAGATATATGCAAAAAAAAAACGGAGGGTTTAATAACCCTTTTAAATGTAGGACTCTGTCCAGTCAGTTGTATGATTCAAAGTATTGGATAGAAGATCACCAGCACTCACAAGGTTCAAAGTGTACATTTCCGTACTTCTTTATTGAACATGCGTCATCAAAGCCAATGTTTCGGGGGCCACGCAGGGCCCTGTCATCAGGGCAACATAGTGGCTACGTCACTATGTCGCCCTGTTGAAGGGATCCTGCGTGGCTGCTACTTCATTATGTCACCCTGATGAAGTATGAAAATTTACACTTTGAACCTTGTGAGTGCTGGTGATCTTCTATCCATTACTTTAAAATTATGTGGTGCCATCCGTGTTATGGCTGTGAGCACCACTATTGTGTGAGGTTAAAACGCTGCATGGAGTGCAGGTGATCTACTACAACACTACATGTAGTCCTGAGATTCACACAACTCTTCCAAGCACACGACACCCTTATTGTCCATTGTACTTTTTTGGGTTCCTATGTCACCTGTCCGATCATTGGTCAACTCTCCAATGTGATTTCATAGTCCAGTAATGAAGCAAGTGACACAGGTAGCTGACATAGGGAATAGTGGTTTCACAGGCATGTGGCAGAGGGGTGTAAATCACAGGCATGTGGCATAGCGGTGTAAATCACAGGCATGTGGCATAGGGGTGTAAATCCCAAATATGGCTGGGCAGAAGTGCAAACCTTTTGGCTGATATGCCATTTTACACCATGCTTATATGTAGCCATTTCCCCCGGAGCTCCGCTTTCAATATTTCTTTTGAATTAAGTAGTTTTAGGTGGGAAGGCCGTGCGCAACGACAGCAACTAATCTGACTGAAACGTTTGTCTTCATTTGAATACAGTACATTGAAATATGATTGCTCCAGATCATATGCTCCTTGCTTTTTGCACTGCCTTGCTAAATAACATGTCATTGTTATAGGCCATGTCTGATACTGACAGCCAGCAAGAACAAGCAAAGACAGCGGCATTAAAGTGCAGACTGAAATCTCCCCATTCATACTCTTATGCTGGAATATATTTAGTATCTGCTATATTTTTACCATAAGGCAGCAGTAAAAATGTTTCACAGTGATCATAAACCATCTGTACGGTCAGGAGTTTAAAATGATGAATAAAGTGCAATAATAGTTATTTTGTAACTGTTATAAACTTATCTAGACATAGAGAAATATGAAAATGATTCAAGGACCAAGATCTGTACAGAAGCCAACACCGAGCAATAGGTTGGAAAGTAAATCTCCATATTCTACATGTATCTAACTGCTGACCAGCCTATTGCTGTAAGTGCTCAACAGATGCAACGAGAATATCAAAATAATAGCCGTGGATATCCTTCTGTAGGATTACTGCACAGGAAGAGTGTTTACAGTATCACTTCCCAGTGCACTACATTAGAGAGACCCTGTCGCCAGACCATTTGTTTCAACAAACATTTACCCTTAAGGGCATATGTGCATTTCAATGTATTGTATTTGTTATTTACCTCTAAAGGTTTCCCCTGTGTAGACATTCAAAAGGCCTGAGACTGTTGTTGGGCACCACCATCTTGGATGTGATGTCAGCAGTTCCAGCAGACTCCGCTGTCACTCAAATGGCACAATTTGCCTTCACTATGTAGGGAGGTGAAGGAGCTGGGCCAGCTCAGAGAGTAATTAGACACTCCCACAAGAGGAGAGGGCTATGACATGCAAGGTGGGTGTGACCTGTGCTAGGGAATCAATGCTTTCTGTAGCAGTCAAATGTTCTGGCACCTTCAAAGGCAAGTCAATCAAAAATCATTTATATAAAGCAGAAGCACTGCAAGTACGCATGAAAAATATTTGATCTGTGCTCGTACCTGCAATTTTTTAAGTTGGTGACAGGGTCTCTTTAATGTCACGCTCTTATAATGAAAGCTCTCTTCTCCTGAATTTGTTTTCATCTATCAGTGTTTAAAACTCCTTAATGTAAACCATTTAATGACACTAATATAATGTATGTTTATTAACCCTTAAAGCATAGCTCCATCTGATGGTGAAAATTTGGTGAGGGGGGGTTTCTGTGTAAGCCAGAGGTGCTGATTACCCGCCTCTGAGTTGCCAGTCGTTGCCTCTGCCTAGCACAGAACAGAAGTAAAAGGGGTGCATTTATAAATCGCTTGGCAACTGAGTTTCCCAGTGCATTATGGCCACTAGATGGAGCTGAGGAGCATTGGAACTTCCTCGGGTCCATCTAGTGGCACTGCAAATTATATTTGCTGTGGCAACAGTTTATAAATACACCCCAGGGTGTCCAAAGTGATCGAGGTTCCCCATTATGGTATAGAAGAATTATACGGGGGCTTTCGCGGATTTGGTAAATGGCAGAAGAGCTGCAGCGGACCTCAAATCAGTTTTTGTCTACAGGTCCGATTTCACTCTCCCAGATAGACATCATGATTTAAGGATAATTGTCTTTGTGTTTGTGATTAATTGTCCTGTGAAGCTGAATGCTGCATCAAAACAATAGAACCACTAACAGATATTTTTGTGGGTCTGCAAAATGCTATCTGCGTTCATTTGTTCACATATCAGCGAATGGTGAACAACACACAGGACATCAATATTAAGGTGTCTAAGCTGAAAATGTAGCAGAAGAAAACAGTTTATTTTAAAATATGGAAAAATGGCTTTTAGAGGGTCAGCCCTGGCTAGCTGAAACTTTGACTGCTGATTTAGTAGTAGTACCCTCCCATCTCTATGCTCAGGATCCAATGAGAGCGCCATCTGTAGATGATATTTAGTATTACACCCTGAGGTTTTATATATAATGAAGTGCTATGAAAAATGTAGTTTTCCACATTTTACTTTACCCTATCAAATGGCAGTTTAAAGTTGGACTTCAGTTGGATATAAAATACACAAATGATTGCAGTGTTCATTATCTGAATTCAACTTCATTTTAATTGCTCGCAATCCTCTATACAGCAGAACTCAGACTGGGAGCCAATTAGGTGTACTGCATGCAAGTGTGAGGGATGACCTCACCAGTCTGCTGCTGCTCATTTGCTGTCCAGTCATGAGACTGGGGATGTAGCAAGGGCATCACTGTATGATGTTATCATTAGTGATGTGTTAAGTCTGTGGATCAAAGTGCAGGTAAACTGGCTCTTGTGTGTGTATTTAAATGTTTGCCTGGCGTTCAGCTTAAAGGATAACTGTACTTTCTGTATTGTGTTTGGAAAAACACCCGCTCTACCGCCTGCAGCTTCCCAGAGCAGGTTTACATTCCACTGCACTGCCTAGGAAGCTACTATTGGCCACCAGTAGAGGGTGCTTTTGGAATATGGGAGAAGGTAATAGACTAACGCTGGGTACACGTGGACGGCAGGCTGAACGATAAAAAAAGTGATAGATTCCTCCATCCACACTAACTCTGGGGATGGATGAATCTTCTGCTGTGTCCGCTGTCGGAATACCCAATCAGCTGCAAGCACTGTTCACCCAACAATTTTCCAAAATTTCCCTTCAACAAAAGTAATTCTAACAATCAACTTTGTCAAGGAGATCGGGCCACCTACGGATCGAATTTCAATTGATTCCTGATGCATTGGTTGAAATTCAATCCGTGTGTACCCGGCTTAAAGCTTCCTGTTTATTGTGTTGTCACATAGAAATGATGTCAGCAGATAAAGGACTGCACTGATAACCCCAGTTATCCTTCAAGTATTTCAGTTTTTTATTTTATTAATTTATAATCTTGGCATTAAAAAAAAAAATTGTCCTAGTCGTCCTATTTAGCTAGACGATGAAATGTGTGATTCAGTTGGAAGTTGAGGATAATAACTGAGATTTCTTGTATAGCTTTGTCCATACCGGTTTCCAGGTTGCTGCGTAAAATGTTGTCCATAAATCCTTCCAGGTGTTGGTTTAGCGTTTATTTTCTTCCAAATCAAGGTCATGATAATTTGCCAAGGTTTTCTTTTAGAATTGAGTTGTTGATCTTTGATGATCTCCTCCTGCAGGGGAGGATTATCAAGCTGGTTTATGAAGTAGTTTGAAGTGCTGAGTCAGCACAATTAGGACATGAGTACTGTACATTGCATATATAGGAATGTTTGTGATATATCTCAGCAGGCAGTCTTCTACAAGGCAGCAAACTGCTAATGAATAGCCAGCAGAAAGA